TTTTTTCATGAAAAAAGTGTGCCTTTGCACAAAAAAGGTTGAAAAACACTGGTGTAGGTAACCGATCTTTGCTAACCGATCACTTATTCAGCGACTGGTTGAAATTATGATGAAAAAGGAGAAGTGCAAACAGTCTTCCAAGTTGCAATAATCACAGCAACCCCACAATCACAGGGTTGCCATTTGCAACCTTCACTGCGAGGTTTGGATAGTCAGTTGGGAAGCCTGCAGGAAGTGGCAACCTGCAATCACAGGACATTGTGATTAATTTACCTCTGGTGATTTACTTAATGACCACAGCTGGAACTGATGTCATAAGTCAGTACAGTTGCATGGCATTTCACTCAACAACCCTGCTGCTTAGTGACAAAAGTTGCTGTTCCTCATTGCAGTCAGTAAAATGACGGCCTAGGCACAGATGTTAATTAGGGCAGTTATTTCTCATCCTTGGCCACTTGAAGATGTGTGGACTTCAGCTTCCAGGATTCCCTAACCAGCATTGCTGGATCCCTTAATCAACTAGCCTATTCAGTGGTACTATTCAGCGGGTTTGGACTGATTTGGGAAAACTGGTAGCGGCTACCTGTGAGTGGTGGGCCCACCCGCCCGTCCTGGCGCTATGCTGTTCTATTTAGCCACATTTTCTAAGCTGTGCATGTGTGCAAGCTGTGTGTGCAAGCAAAGCTCCTGCGTGGAAGGCCCAAACGCAAGTGAAAGTGAGCATGCCTGCACACGCTCTCACATTTTCAGTGCACGGCGAACCGGTGGTAAACTGATGTGAAATCCACCTCTGAGCCTATTAATAAGTCACTGATGGTGGCTGAACCCTTACTATTTACAAAGCTATTCATTTTATATCAATCCATCAGAATAAAGCTGGAAGGGACCTTGGAGGTCTCCTAGTCCAACCCTCTGCTCAGGCAGGAGACCCTACATCAGTGTTTCTCAAGCTTGGCAACTTGAAGATGTCTGGACTTCAACTCCCAGAATTCCCCAGCCAGCGAATGCGATGTGATCGTCATTTGCGAGCCAGCTCCCAACAAGCAAAAGTCAGTGGGGAAACCAGGAGTTGCTTAGGGACTGTGTGAATTGCTTTAACCACAGAGGGAAAAGGTTGTAACAATGGGTACAATCACATGATGACTCACTTAATGACTGCAGAGCTCCAATCGTTATACTATGACTAGTATCCTCCTGGGAGTGTGCCTGTTGGGAGGGGCCAACATATCATGATTTAAGACAATTAGTCCCTTTTAATAATTTAAACAATACAGCCAAAAGACGAACAGAGGTAGATCCAAGCATTTCCCATTGACTCTTCAGTACTTACAATAACACGGTTCAAATCAGCATCAATATATAAGATCTAGCAAGAGCATTAATTGAGCCTATACCATGAGTTGTCAGCAGGTGGCAGCACCTAGCCATTGTTGAATCTGGAAATTAAATCTGCTCTGACTTGATTGGGTATTTGAGGGAAAGCTGGTATTTCTAGAGCTGAGGGCATGTGCGGGAGGGGTGCACAGAGGTCTCCTGGAAGTGGCAAATTGCCTTCAGGTGGCGACAGGTAGACCTTGACTTACAATCAAGCCCAAAATTTCTGTTGCTAAGCAAGGCAGTTGTTAAACGGGTTTTGTCC